CCACACCACTGTGTTATTACACTAACTGTGTAATACACACCTATGTACGGTCGCACAACCTTGTGCTACTAGCTCAATCTTTCAAGGACACGTGAACCCCCCTTACACAAATTTTTTTGACACCCTGGGCGATGATGCCCAAAGCCTTGTCGTCAATCAGAGCCATGGCCTAGCTATCTCGTTTTCATCCCATGCGAGCGTGATCTGCCCCCGTGACCCTTTACTTGCGTGAGCTACCCTCATGTTGGGGTAGTATTTGCCATCCCCAAGAGGACTTCGATGCGTTTGGTCGTGATGGCGGTGAAGGTGTCGTGAAGCGAGGCTGTTGGTCTGTCGAGAAGATGGCAAAAACCGACTTAAATATTAAGTTCTTAGATCGCTTCTCTGTGTTCCATCTAAGCTTACCATTCTTAACATTGCTGTATTAAACCATCGAACGACTACCATTTGCCAGTAAACAGTATTCATAACCATGACAGACCTTTACCGTAATCCTTGTGACGTCATCCACACGCATTTAACGGCCATTAGCCTGGGTGTATTCGAGCACGGTCACAGTGGAGTCCGCATATTTACCCGTTTGCTGACTCTCTTCCCACCATAGAGCTACTTGCGGTATACTTAGCTATCGGTCTGCTAAACAAAGAGTAATAAACGCATTTAATTGTCACGAACATGAGCCCTGGGCTGCTTATCAAATAAGTTTTAAGAAACACCAATTAGACTGGTATATTGGTGCCTCCTCTTCTTTTTTGCTTTTTTCTTATCTTCTCTTCTACTACTTAGGCAAAGTAGACAAATGCCTAGTCCTGAGAGGGCCGATCATCACCTTCACGCTTTGATGACTAAATTGACGTCATCATGCTTTTGCATAGAGTAAATACTCGTACACAATACGATGATCCAAGATGAGTCGAGCTAGTGAGGTAGATAACCAAGCATCAAGAGTCCATATTATAAATATGTGGAATCTTATATCATATAAATTATTGCATCGGCCAATTTTCTCAAAAATGCTTTTCGTGGTGTCAGTTTTCCTCCTTGTATGCGCGACCAATGTCCTTGAAACTGTCCACTGTACCTTTTCGAATTCGGAAGAAGCTAACATGCCTGTCGATATCCGTGACGCTGCCGACAATGTGAGTCACTATAATCGAAGTCGAATGAGTTCTGAAGACACAAAGACCACGGATACCGAAAACAGAGGTCGTGCTTTCACTATGTCTGATTTGGGCGTGAGGCTTATGACGATTGCGAAGTACAATAAATACGCGAAGAAGGTGCGTCAGTATATTAATCTCAAGGATGCTTTGAAAAGTTCCGAGATGGAGGCTTTGTACAACTTGTGCATGAAGCACAATCGTAAAAATAAAGCGAAATTGCAGCTCTCGGCAGTCGAGCCACTTTTGGAATTATATGGATCCAGCAACCTGCGGAACAATCTTCAACATCTGGTCGAGAAAGAAGGGTACAACCAGCATATGATTAAGCATCTTTTGCAAGAGATACGACGGGAAGAGTGGCTGAGAAAACAAATGTCTATCGACAAAGTCTTTGATCTGCTGCAATTCAGCGACGACCTTACGACAGATATACAAATTGGAAAATTTGATGAGCTGAAAGAGTATATTTTATCCCTTGGCCGCGAAAAGTATAAAAATAAGGTTATTGAGTACGCCGATGACAAGCTGGTCGCGATTTTGACAGATAAATTTGGTGGAGAAGGAAATCTGGTGAAGCAAATGAGTAAAGCAAAGTTTTCTGGAGTAAATGACGAAAGTATGAGCGGTTTGGAATCAGCTTTATTTCGCAAATGGCATGACATGAAAACGTGGAAGGTGTGGAATCGACTCCAATTTGGCGATGACGCAGTTGGAGCATTGACAAGCGGAAAAATTGAGATTGCTGATAAATACTTTACTAAAAGGTATAAAAACGGCTATTTTGATGCTATTCAATTGTTTGAAGAAGATTTTGGAACAGAAAGATTGACAGCGGCATTTGCAATTGCTAAATCTGTGCCCGACACGAAAGAATTTGCGACAATGATGCAGCACAAACAATTCAATAATTGGCGGCGAAAGAATAAGTCTGCGGCAGATATTTTTAAATCTTTGAACTTCAACATAAATCGCATCGATACACTTCTAGATGTAAAATTGGAAGCTTTGAGCTCCTTCATTAGTTTATTGGAGCCTACGAAACCCTATGTGAAGGCAGGAAATTTGTGGGATCTCGCACGTCTGGCCATGAATTCAGTGTTAGGAGATGATCCGGCAAGGTTGTTATGGTACGACACTTCACTTTTAGACGTGCTTTTTGAAAAATGGAGCGCCGAAAATCTTCAGCCGGATAAACTTTACGATCAATTTTACGGTGGCGGAATGACTGTTGCTGATCGTACCGATACGTTAATAGTGGCATGTTACGAGGACTTCATCATTGATGGTGATAGCATGGTCAACCCTTCCCTCATGACTCCTAGGCGCCTATTAGATCGACCGTTTGCAAAAATTTAGGTGCACAATATGTTATTGAGTAAGAGCATCTCAGCGTATTTCAATCGTTCGACCTGCATCGTATCTCCATGCCTGACGAAAGTCTAATATGCAAAATTTATATAGAAGGTAGCGAGAATTTGTGAGACTTCGCACGATTGGCCGTCATAGCACTCAATGGGTATGATCCAGCAAAATAAGAATCTGGCGCAACGCGCATGCAATGTTTGATGTATGGAGCCATTCAAGTGCTCAGCCGCTTGAACTTTTTAAATTTTTTTCCACTGACAAAGAGGTTGGTGATGATAAGACATACGATTTAGACGTCAAAAAGTACGAAATGTATCGTGAAGCTGAAAATCCAAGCATCAGGCGGTATGATCATCACAGATAGTCATCTACAAGCAAAGACATTTTGAGTGCTAAATATAAATATATTCACTTCTACATCACAGTCATCAGAATCAATTTTGCCTCCTGCGTTCTGAATATTTCGTTTACTCAGAGCTCACTTGATGTATAGGCGCTGACCTAGCAGCCTTTATTCATTTTGTGCCTGACAAATTGTAAATCAAAGCAGTAAATGTCGTTTTCATAGCCATCGAACTTCCTACACGTCGAGACGTAAACATGAGCGCTTTATGAAGTATCCAAAAATACTTTGTTGGTCCAAAGACTCAATTTCTGTCGGCTTAAGCCAAAAAATGATGTCGGAGAACTCATCACGTTCAGGGTTACAATAACACAAGATAATAAACGCTCAAACATCATGCAGCACAAAAAGACGGCTGCTTAACAAACCACAACCATGCTTCAAGACAGACTGATGAACATGTTGACGTTTTGAGTGCGTCAGCATGAGCACCCAGAGTCTCATTCTCACGCTAGCGTTCGACTTGTCACCTATCCAGATGTGTACTGTGCAACTCGCGGTGCCTTGTGAACAAGGCAAGCAATTTAAAGCATTTGCTAAAAAAAACCTTCAACACTGCACAATTATTTTAGCACGCCAGGCGTTATCATCTCCAAGTCTCATTCAACATATGCAGGTGATTGATTATCAGGTAGACATATACTTTGATAGCGATCTGCTGCAGAGCTGTTCGTAACCTAAATTTCTGTCAAGGGCAACCATCAAGAAAAGAAGCTGACTCAAGTCTACAATAAAAATATTAGAACCAGGATGGGTTTTGATACCTTGAGGTTAATGGGACAATTCAAAAGAGATTTATGGAGCCCCTGTGTCCGAGCCAGTACGTGAGGAAGCTTGTCATCGGGTCGATTAATGAACTATCGTGCTTGCCAAGTACTCAGATCTGAGACCAATTATATTATATTACTGCTCATAGATTCGCTTATCTTCTCAACCTTCTAGATAGAGATCTGGCGGTCCAGCTTCAAGACGAATCACGAGGGCGCATGACAAGTGCTGGCTTGAAACCACC